TTTTAGAAAAATGATATCCAAGTAATTTTCGCACGCAAAATATTCAAAAAACAATAGACGCATTAATGCAAAAATCAGTTTTCAGACAACTTTCCTTTTTTCATAATCGTATTATGAGAAAAAATAATAAAATCGTTTAATTATTAATTAATAATTTTTCTTACTGTACTTAAGAAAATATTAAATATTTAAAAAATGCAGTATTTTTAAAGTTAAAATAAGATTAAACTAAAGTAAACCAAAACCAAAGTGATGGAGAGATGCCACGCGCTTGTATATCGATGACGTAGAAGCGAACGAAAACAACTAACTTGTAAGTTGAATTAATTAAGTCGGAAAAAAGAAAGTGTGCATTATAATCGAGAAAATGGGCGTATTGTATTAATCTTTAAACTATTGGTATTAAATCTGTCTTATAAAATCACGACGACTCCCGTAAATCGAGTTATCCGATAAGAATAAAATACAATACCAATATAGCCCTATTGTTGAAAAAAATTCGCTTCTTTTTGCTCACATCGACTTTTTTTTAGTAGAAATGGCTAAAAAGTGCTCCAAATATGTACGGAAATACAGTATTGTAGCACCACCTGTCTAAAAGGCCACTTTTTGAAGGAACCGTGGGTGGTCGACATAGACAGGTTTTTTTTAATTATTTATTTTTAATTTTTATTTTTTTATTTCTCAAAAAGACGCTGTGGCCAGGTTGGCCTTTTACAAGCATCTTAAATTAAAATCAACAAAACGAACAAAAAAAGAAGAATAAGTAAAACAAAAACAGGACGCGAGCTGAGAAAGAAAATTACTTTCTACCTTAGGTCCAAAAATTAATTGAGAACAAATATCACTGTGGCTTAAAGTTATTTCCTTTTTTTACATTCTTTTTGAAGATTTCATAACTTGATATGTTACGTAAATCGTTGCACAGACTATTCCAATAGAAGATTAATTGAAAGATCGGTGTAGATCTCTCTACCATTGGGAGACTATATCCACGAATTATATGAGAATCTCGTGTTGATCTGCGACATTCTCCTATACCAATTCCGAGGAAGCTGTTTTTTTTTTTTTTTGCCCTTTATATATTTGAAACCCTTTTACTGTATATAATTTCTATAATATATAAGTTATAATATATATCTTTTATAACTTATATATTATCAAGTACAACTCGTTAATATAGATGCGACAAATAACAATGGTTAGAATTATCTTGATTGGTTACGCAAACTGGAGAATGCACATAATTGGATATTTTCGATTCAAACGAAGGTCAAGCTAATCGTGAAGCAGAATTACATAAGTAAGTAAATAAACCAGTCCTTCCAAGTAACATCTACACGTGAAATATTCCTGACGAAAGCAATTTTGGATAATTTTTTTACGTCATATGTTGATTATTATCCTAATTTTACTGTATTTCTATTTTCACCGTTTTTAACTTAATTTAAAGCTTTCGATATTAAAAAAATATATATTTTAAAAAGTTTCTTTAAATTTATCAGCACATTATTTCCTCTTTTGTTATCGTAATCTGTTGAATATGTTCGATGGATATTATTATTTTGATTATTATAGCAAACTTAAATATCGCATTACGGAAGTTGTCAAAGAGGATAGTCGCATTCTTGTAGCGTAATATAAAACTATAAGTTGAAACGAAACGAGTATTTCCCGTTCTGTTCTAATGTTTATCATATTTATGCTAAACATTAGAACAAGACTGTCTTGTTTTGTGTTTAGCATAATTACTTTCACTCATCATTATAAAATGCGGGCAATTACAAATGTAAATTTTGTAAGTCATGTAAAAATTATCGAAGAAATACAGTATACAATAGGCCTTTACGTTTGTTGCGACTTTCTGATTTTGTTTACAAGTTTTAACTATTGCACACAATATTATAAATTTTAGCTGTTTTTAAACAAAAAGGCTATTAGCTTGGTTTTAAACAAGCTTCCAAAACTACAATAAAATGTAAATTTTAATATTTTATTATGGCGGCGGGAAAAAGAACTCTCGAGAAAGATATGTCACGGCGCAACCGGTTTTTCGACCATTTAGTCACGACGAAAACAACGACGTGTTTATAACAATCAGAAGATTAACTTTCCTACGTTNATAAAAACATTACACTCAACAAGCCACCAATAAAACTCAACTGCCTAACCTATAACCAAAGTCTTCTTTTAATTTGTTTTTAAAAAAAAGCGCTTGACAAACTTGCCCCGCATGCCGAAGTTGCCCCGGTCTCCCCTAAATCAATACTATTTCTAGTGTTAAGTCCTCAGAGAACACATGGGTACTATAATAGCTTATTTCTTTCAAGTCAATAATCTTCGAAGCCGGAAGAAAGTCCTACAAGACTAGAACACATTACTAAAAATACTAGCCGTTACAATATCTTTCAATAAATAATAAGATAAGATAACACGCAATTGAAGAAATGGTTTTGAATCGTTAATCTAATCGAAATATGCTACCGAAGTGACAAGAATTGCGGAAATTTGAAAAAAGTTTCATATAAGATCAGTTCGATTATTTGATACCAATTGATAGAGTTAATAATTGAGCGAAATTTCAAACGCTATCGTAACTCATTTTACTAGCAAACAAAATACTGTATAAAAATGTATATAGACGTAAATATTAGCGTTACGAGCATAAAATTATATAGCCGATAACGGCTCGATATTCTCTGGAGGTTATTAAATACGTAATTTTCACCGCCAAAGGAATTTGAGTTATTTTCTCCAGGGTCAACGAGCATCTCTTTCTTAGAAAGGTTTTTTTTTTTTTTATCAATAATCTATTTTATAGTATTTTTAAAATAGAAACTTGGCCGTAATACTATTTTTATTAATAAATAAAATCTGATATAACTTGATTAATTGCATAAAATTATTAGCGAAACATTGAGAATGGCGCCTTCATTAATAATTCATTTAAATCGCTTTAAATCGTTGAGTTGATTGTTATTTTAGATAAGTTTTAAATTTTCTAACCGTAAAATACAAATTTATCAATATATTATTAATAAGTTTTAATTTGATCTTCAAATTTTTATATAAATTCGTAATTATGATAGAAAGCGTATAATTTTAAGCTTGGACAATGTCGGAGAGATCGTGATTTTACTTTTTATTTTACGAAATATCGTATACATTCATCGGAATATTCGTTAGTTAGATAAACAAAGTATCTTTTTTTATTACTCTATTCGTAAAAAGTATCNAAAAAAAAAAAAAAAAAAAAAAAAAAAAAAAAAAAAAAAAAAAAAAAAAAAAAAAAAAAAAAAAAAAAAAAAAAAAAAAAAAAAAAAAAAAAAAAAAAAAAAAAAAAAAAAAAAAAAAAAAAAAAAAAAAAAAAAAAAAAAAAAAAAAAAAAAAAAAAAAAAAAAAAAAAAAAAAAAAAAAAAAAAAAAAAAAAAAAAAAAAAAAAAAAAAAAAAAAAAAAAAAAAAAAAAAAAAAAAAAAAAAAAAAAAAAAAAAAAAAAAAAAAAAAAAAAAAAAAAAAAAAAAAAAAAAAAAAAAAAAAAAAAAAAAAAAAAAAAAAAAAAAAAAAAAAAAAAAAAAAAAAAAAAAAAAAAAAAAAAAAAAAAAAAAAAAAAAAAAAAAAAAAAAAAAAAAAAAAAAAAAAAAAAAAAAAAAAAAAAAAAAAAAAAAAAAAAAAAAAAAAAAAAAAAAAAAAAAAAAAAAAAAAAAAAAAAAAAAAAAAAAAAAAAAAAAAAAAAAAAAAAAAAAAAAAAAAAAAAAAAAAAAAAAAAAAAAAAAAAAAAAAAAAAAAAAAAAAAAAAAAAAAAAAAAAAAAAAAAAAAAAAAAAAAAAAAAAAAAAAAAAAAAAAAAAAAAAAAAAAAAAAAAAAAAAAAAAAAAAAAAAAAAAAAAAAAAAAAAAAAAAAAAAAAAAAAAAAAAAAAAAAAAAAAAAAAAAAAAAAAAAAAAAAAAAAAAAAAAAAAAAAAAAAAAAAAAAAAAAAAAAAAAAAAAAAAAAAAAAAAAAAAAAAAAAAAAAAAAAAAAAAAAAAAAAAAAAAAAAAAAAAAAAAAAAAAAAAAAAAAAAAAAAAAAAAAAAAAAAAAAAAAAAAAAAAAAAAAAAAAAAAAAAAAAAAAAAAAAAAAAAAAAAAAAAAAAAAAAAAAAAAAAAAAAAAAAAAAAAAAAAAAAAAAAAAAAAAAAAAAAAAAAAAAAAAAAAAAAAAAAAAAAAAAAAAAAAAAAAAAAAAAAAAAAAAAAAAAAAAAAAAAAAAAAAAAAAAAAAAAAAAAAAAAAAAAAAAAAAAAAAAAAAAAAAAAAAAAAAAAAAAAAAAAAAAAAAAAAAAAAAAAAAAAAAAAAAAAAAAAAAAAAAAAAAAAAAAAAAAAAAAAAAAAAAAAAAAAAAAAAAAAAAAAAAAAAAAAAAAAAAAAAAAAAAAAAAAAAAAAAAAAAAAAAAAAAAAAAAAAAAAAAAAAAAAAAAAAAAAAAAAAAAAAAAAAAAAAAAAAAAAAAAAAAAAAAAAAAAAAAAAAAAAAAAAAAAAAAAAAAAAAAAAAAAAAAAAAAAAAAAAAAAAAAAAAAAAAAAAAAAAAAAAAAAAAAAAAAAAAAAAAAAAAAAAAAAAAAAAAAAAAAAAAAAAAAAAAAAAAAAAAAAAAAAAAAAAAAAAAAAAAAAAAAAAAAAAAAAAAAAAAAAAAAAAAAAAAAAAAAAAAAAAAAAAAAAAAAAAAAAAAAAAAAAAAAAAAAAAAAAAAAAAAAAAAAAAAAAAAAAAAAAAAAAAAAAAAAAAAAAAAAAAAAAAAAAAAAAAAAAAAAAAAAAAAAAAAAAAAAAAAAAAAAAAAAAAAAAAAAAAAAAAAAAAAAAAAAAAAAAAAAAAAAAAAAAAAAAAAAAAAAAAAAAAAACACAAAAGTTAGCTATAGCAATTGTTCGGTAAAATCAGAGTGAGCGCTGTGTGCAAAGGGAAAGGGCCGGCAATAATTTTATCCTACGAATGACATTAAAACATTTTCGTCTGCGTCAAAATTTTCTGCCAAAAGAGTCGAAGGGTGGACGAGATTGATCCTTTATTCCCATCACGTCATTCAGAAGTTACCGGTACGCCGTCGAGAAAGGTCAAGGTCTAGCTGCGCTGATACAGAAGTGCAGAGAGAAGAGAGCGGAGATTAGTTCCTCAGTCGACATGAAATCGGTAAGCGCTTTCCTTCCATTTAATAACGAAAGGTGACGAAGACCGGATTGGGATCGATGTCGGAACAGCAGGGACCGCATCGCTTATCCCACGAGAACCGTCACCACTAAAGTAACGATCGCGTCGTATTTCTTCCCGAAAATGTAGTACTGTACTGTACAGTACGTAGCCGAAGCACGGAAGGCATTAGTTCAGATCGAAAATGTCTTTTGAGGCGCCGAAGATGCGGCAGGAACCTCTAATTTAAAAACGGAACTTTTTGTCTGGACAAAACACTTTCGCTTTCATCTGTCTATTATTATTATTATTTTTTTATTTTTATTTTTATAGAAAATGAGACTATTTTTACAATAGTCTCATTTTCTGTCGTTTTAATGTTCCAAAACTAAAACTTATTCAGCCGTCAATGTCAACAAAATCCTTTTATATCCCTTTAATTTGTTGGCTCGAATTCCACTAAAGACAATACTGACTAAAATTAAAGTCTTCTATTTTGCATTCCGGACTCCTGTCCGCCATATTTAGTTCGACTTTAACCATTTACCAATTAACTTTAAAACAAGATTGTATCGTTAGACGGAATTGAATAAAACGGAAGAATAAATAGATGTTGTAGCATAGCAACGAGGGACCAAGCGTGGTCTCGTGCGTCGCAATTGCGTCTTCCTTTGTATCTAGGGGCTCCGGTGCAACTTCTATAAACTCCGAAAGAAGTGAGAAGATTGGAGGAAGAGGTAGTTTGGACAGAAGCCAAACCTTTTCGTTTTCTGTTTTTCGCGTCGTCTATTTTCATTATCGATGTTTTAAATATTTATTAATCGACCGATAAATTTCCTGAAATAAACGCGATGACGTCGTTTCGTCTACATCGGGAAATCGATTAAGGCCGCGTAATTTCCCTGGGCGTTACGACCATCGTAACTAGACGACATAACCGTCTACATCGAGGGCCGACGTCGATCGATTTACGCACGCGCCGGATACCTAACGCTACTTGTTTCGATCGGCAGAAATTCTTCTCGCATGCAAAAATAGGCCGGTATCACGTCCGATCCTTCTTACGAGATGACCCGTGGTCTTTCTGATGTCGCCTATTTTGACCTCCCACTTGCGCTCTTCCCGGGCGCCAGTCGCGTAGCTCGGTGACTACAGTTGCGACTTCTTTAATTTTAATTTCTATGGTTAGGGATTAACTGACCGTTACCAAATTCGTTCACCCCGATAAAACGAATTTTGTCATTCCGAATTTACGTCTCTTCCAAGATCCATTTTGGTTTTGCTTTCGAAGAAAAAGCGTTGGAAGGCCGGAATGCGTTTCCTTCCGATAGAGTAATCGGGAGTGACGTCATCTCCACCAGGTTCAAACTTTGTAGGAATTACGCTTCAGGAAGTTGCTTCCGATCGATTGTTGTCGTCTTCGCGTCCGAAACCCGGCCACATACCGTAGTCGGTGTCAGAGATAGATAGAAAAACCTGCGGCGACCGAGAGGCCAACTCTGAATTCGAAAGCGGAACGAAGGGCGACGGCGGCACGAATTCATCGGCGGATTCCGGCGGAGGGGACGTCGCGGGGTAGACGACCCTAACCGGTTAATTCCGGTTCTGACCCGACTATTACCCGGAAAGTAGGCCCGGTGCCCGATCCGCATCGTCTCTCCCGTCCTACCGCTTCGCGTCGCGTCGCCCGGTTTCGCTCCCAATGAATAGCGCGATCCGTCTACGCGTTGGATGTCGACCGAACGGCCAGATTCGATCAAAGGTGCTGAAAACGAAAAACGCACGTCCCCTAGAATTCTCAAAATCGCACAGAAAACGAGAGAGAGCTCGTGGCTGCCGGTCGAACACGTCGAGCCAAAATAAGTCGGGAGAAAATTGGCGGATTACGACCACCTTGAAGCCAAAATTAGGCGGGCCAAGAAACGATTGCGTCATCTTGTCGGCGGGATTTCTGAGAAGCCAGTGGGGAGGAAACATGGCTGTACCCGCCACACATCGACGAAAGAATTCCTACCCGCCCCGAAGGGCCGGGACAAAATGAGAAAATGTGCTTCGAATCGGGAGGCGATGGCGACGACCGCGTCTGGTCTTCCGAAAGGCGACAGACCCCCGTCCCGCCGCCTCCTACGAAAAGAAAGAAAGGGGGAGATTTCCTCCCTCGTTCGAAGTTGGGGATGTCGAAGGGGGTATTAACGGGAAAGAGATTTCGAATGAAGATATAAGACTATTTACGGAGGAACTAAAATATCCCGCCCGAGTCTTATATAACAGAAGAAGAGTCGGAGAACGGACGCCGAACGGCGGCGCGACGCCTAAATCGGCGTCGGTCGATAGGAGGACGCCGACTGCAGGGAGCGCCTTCGGCTCCGCCCCGATCCGGTTGGAACCGGTCTGGTCCGGCGCGTGCCGTCTTTGTTTCCGGGGTTAGACCGGCGGTCGAGTTTCCAGCTTCCGTCCTTTGTATCGAACGCGCTGCGCGCCTGTACCTTCGACGTCGGTCCGCTGCCTCGTCTTTGGTTTTTTATATTTTATTCTCGTTCTTCCCGTACGGACTGCGGGAAGGACGGTTCGCCGTAGGTTACTACGTGGTTTATCTAGTTTTATCTTAGGCCTCCGGAAAACCCGGGGACAAGGAAAAATTGTCACCTTTCCCCCCTCGTCGTCGACGCTTTCGGCCGTAAATCGCGGCCGTGTGCATGCCCGAAATAACGCGTAATGGCGGCGGGACCGGTCGTCGCCGAGCGACGGATGACGTCGACGCCGCCAATCCTACAGACCGCGTGGTGCTAGCTGGCGCACGTGGCTGGCGTTCTGGCGGTTCGAGCCCGGAAAGAAGAGAGAGAATCATTCTCCGCGATTTTCCAGGTTGTATTCGGATATTCCATCAAACAGACATTCCACGTTGAGACTACCCTTCGTATAACCAAGATAAAAGTAAAATGGCGACGTTTCTTTTGTCGGGTTCTCTGGTTGCCCGTAGATGGAGGGAGGACGGGCAGTCGAGGTCTTGCAGGTACAAAGAACCGGAGTCTCGTACGACGCGGTTACAATAGAGCGGTCGGTGGGTGTCTCGACTATATATAACCCCATCGAGGGAATGGTTGCAACGCGCTCGTGCTGTTTAGAAAAAAGGATTTGCACCTTGTCTGTTACACTTTCGCCTCCAGCATACCTTATTCGATCTATTTATCATTTATTTATTCTTGAGTCTAGCGGCCGAGGAAAATAGGCCTGGGGAAATTCTGGGAATCAGCGTAGCTTTTCCATGTAAACGTAACAGACGGTCGAATTACGTCAAAGCAAAGTAAAAAGGGTTCGGACCACGAATGGGGATGTCATTCGATTTAATTCGAATGGAAAATGCCGACCTCTGACCGTTTTTTTCATCGAATATTTGGTGCGGACGGAATTATTGGGTCGGAGGCTCCCTTTCCGGGCGCTACGTCGCGGGCGGCGCAAGGCTACCCGAGTGCGGGGGCTCTTCGGCGGCGGAAGCTTATATAAGGCACCTTCCGCCGATTGCTACCTGTCCGCAGTCGGTCTTCGTCGGTGGTGTACGTTCGTCTGCTCGTTCCTCAGGTGAGACTCCGTCGGTTTCCGTTTGCCTTTTCGGACATTGTGCGCGACCAATTCCACACTTTTCGTGCCTATTTCGCGCCCTTAATATTCCCGAGTTTTGCGGATTTGGATATTTTGTGCGACTGAAGTTGCGAGTGTCCTCGGGATCGGAGCAGCTGTCGTTACAGCTGTTTCCATTCGAGATGACGCAATTATGCGATGCCTCTTTCTTATCCGTTTTTTCGCCATCGTTCTTTTCTTGTTTTGCGTGTTGAGGAGGACGAGAGATCTTTGATTTTCTCTTCCGCTCGTCTTTGCTTTGTCACATTAAAATGGCGATCGACAAGATGGTGGACGTTTCGAACTTCTACGGGACCGTCGTTAACTACTACTTCGTCGCCCGAGTGCGTTTCCACCACTCTTTTACATTGCAATTTTCCTTATTACTCCGAAAATTCGATCGTTCTCTTTCCTTTGTCTGTGTACAAAAGTGTAATTGTCTTAACCGGACACGTTAAAAAATATACATAGTCTATATATAAAATTGGTTAATATAGTTCGTGGTAAAATCTTTTCGGAAGATAATACAATCGAGACTCAGACAAATGCCATAGAGTTGTCCGTTTTATCAAAAAGGGAAGAAACATTTTGTAATCGAAAACTGGAAGAAATGTTCTGAAATGGGAATTCTGATCCAACTTCTAACTCCACGTATTACTTTCGATCGAGTAAAAAAGATTGATTGGAAATATTAATGGCGAAAAGAATACTAATTAGGCTGTAATATTGTTAAAATACAGAAGTAAAAAAAAGGATTAATAAGTAAAAATTTGAATTCGAAACCGTTTACTCTTTTGAGTATGGAGAGTGCGACAATGTGAAACTTCGTTATAACATTGTTGTAATTGGTGCGATGACAAATTCTTTGTCGGGCTATTAAACGTTTAAGCCGACGTTTAAGAACGACGAAAGTGATATTATTTAAGAACATTTATATACAAATAACAAAATTGTGGAAACTAATCTCTAGTTTTTGGTTTCCTGTTTATGTATGACGGACAAAGAATTGGTAAGTTGCAGAATGGCAAAACGATGTTTCTAAAAGTAAAAGTGACTAGACAAAAATGTTTAATGCATATTTAGTCAGCTGGAAGATCTGTGAAGACAAAGAATTAAGGTTTTCTACACATACTGAATAGGCTCCATGTTTTATCCAGTTTGACTAAACTAACAGACAATAGAACATATGTTGAAAAACTCATTCTTTGAATTGAAGTTAGAAATTCTGTACATAATTATATTATGAAAGAGCATTAAAATAAACAATTGAAATGTGGAACTCAATTTGTATCTAATTAAATTGATTTTTTTCCCAAGTAAACCTACTAAAAAATAAGTTTTAATCATTTAACATTTAAAAATATTTTTTGGTCCTGTCAAATCGTTTATAAACTGAAATTAAACCATTCTTTTTTTCTTGCATCTAAAAAAACTGAAATGTTTGTGTCTGTCTGTTTCTAAGTATGAATATCATTTGATTCATGTCACTATACTACTATATCTTATCTTGTTAATATGGGGTAAATGTATAAACTAATTTTAATTTCTTTTCTCTAAAGATTTAATCATTTTGTCTAATCAGTGTATTTTTAGTCTAAAGTTTGAACCTAAACTACTTGTCTTTTTATTAGTGAGGTGAAAAATCCCCTTTGGTTTAGAAATGTGATTTTTAAATTGGAGTTGTGAAATGGAATGTAATATTTGTTAATTTATTAGATAAATTGGATAATTTATCTGACAAATAACACATTCCATTACATAAAATATCTTTTTGCAAACAAATTTATCTAAACCAATAGTATCCTAAATTATTTGAACCATTTTATTTTGATCTTTTTGGATGTTAAAACAGTGTAGAATTTGATTATGCAAATGTATTTATGTAATTGCATAAAATGATGTCTGATTTTTTTCTAATCTCATAAGGAAATATTTTTAGAAATGTTAGTTGTCTGGATTTGAGTGCATTCTGGATTAACTACTAATGTTGACCATTCACACTGGAATGTTTTTTTTCTTTTTCTTCTACTCTACTACTTGAACATTGTTTCGTATTTCTTGGCTTGTTCGTAATAGTCACAAAAGTAATTTTCAAATAGTCTACTTTCCTTGCCAGAAATTTGAATGGAATGACTTAGATTGCAATCTTTTGATATGATGTAATGTTCTTTTATTCTGCAGTAAGAGTTCTGTTTAAAAATCCCTTTTCTTGCAAAATGTTTAATTTGTGAATTTTAAGATTTGTTAATTTTAGTTTTTAAATAAGAATTTATAGGTTTATTTTAGTCTTTAATCCTGAGTTTGGCATTTTTTTTGAAGATTCTGTATAGTTTGAAATGGACTTTTCATTATTTTTATCAATCTTTGAGCTCATGTTTCATTGTTTCACATTACAAACAAAAAAGCTTAAATTGCACTTCAGAAGGAATGCCCTGTATTTGTTCTCTGTATTAAATGTAAATGAAAAGTTTGTGCAACTAAGAAACTAACTTTGTTGATAATAGAATGTATTTTCACTATATAATTCAAGTTTTATATTGCAATCATTAATGTATCATTAGCATTGTATATTGCTAAAACAGTTTAGTGAAAATATAAAAAGATGTTTAGTGAATGAAACTTTCCAGTTTTTCAATTTGATATATTATTAGACTAACATTTTAACTATTCAATAATTGGAATCTGTCCAGCTAAGTAAATCTTATATTGAGATACAAATGAGCAGTAATCTCATATATTATAACAGTGGAAGAAGTGATTTATTTATTTTTTTAAAATCGACTTTGTACGTAGGTTTTTAAAAATTATCATTAAATTTTATATCAACATTTACTTTGCATTACACAGTATTTCTAAAATTCTTTAGTTTGAATGTGAGAATAAAATAATATAGCTGTATAGCTGCCTTTGTTTCTCTGAGCGGTTATATTGAACTTGCTATTTTCTATATTGGATTTATTTAAAGTAAAATTTAAACTAACTAACATGTGTTTTGATTTTACTTTGGTTACTTGAAATAGCTTGTACTTGAATATATATTTATGATAAATTACATGACCTAGATAGCTGAATATCATAATAAAATGAAATAAATGTAGTCTATAAAGTTAATAATCTACGAATTATTTATTAGAATAAAATTTATGTAAGTCATTCAGACTGGCATTCTCAAAATGTTCAATACAAAAGAGTTTTGAATCATTCCTATTTAATATTCACACTGAATATTAACAAGAACAATTTTTTCCGCAATACTTTTTATGAAGTTTAAGTACAGTAAAACCTGTGTAAACCAGAATTGTATGGTACTTAATTTTTTTGTTTCAGATGTTTTATATGTATATATTTTTGCTGCTCTGCTATGGAATATGGCATAGGGAAAGCATGGTGATCAGTTTTATATATATATTTATTTATTTACTTTTATTTTTTTAACATTCAAGGAGCTCAAAAATTGTTTGTTGGCATCTATTTTGAATTATATTTTATGATTGTATGAACCATGGGTTATTTCTATACATGGGGCATTAATGCCATTAAATTTTTGATTATAAGTCGAGGAGGGAGACAAATGAAGATCATGTCATATCACATAGGGTTGGACTTAATGAAGCTTTTAGTTTTCATTGGTATTTACAATTTTTTATAAACTCATTCCTACACTCAAGATTAAGCCTTTTGTGTTTTAATAATTGTTAAAAAATCTGTTAATTTCATAACAGATGTCTCAATTTTAACTATGCTAATGTCTTAGAGTTCTTGTGTTTATATATTAGTTAAGAGAGACTTATAATTCAACAAAATTACCCTTAGGCTTATCCCAGGAATAGAAATTTAACCCTTCCAACATCTAAATCAACAAAAATTAGTCTCTTGCCAGCTCTTACTACAAAATTGAGAATTCTACACAACTACTTTTTCCAAAATCCATTAGTCCTTTACAGTGTCACAATAATACTGAGACCAAGTTATTCTGTGATCTGGCTTCTTGAGAAATTTTAATACTGTAATTGTTAACTTTGATCTTTAATTATCAATGTTAACCAGCTTGTTTTTGAATACTCTGTAGTAATTAGTCATTAACTATTCTATAGAAGGCAATTTGGCAGCATTGTGTTATCTTATTCTTGTTTTTACAAATTGTATGTTGCTTGTTCTTGAACTCATTCTTGGAAAATCATTTGTTGCTTGAAAGTATTTGATACTCCCCTTGTTTAAATTCAAAGATTAATATTAACAACAGTAGGTAAATATAATATTTTCTGAAAAAGTTATGTAAATACTCTGGTTTTACAGTTTAAACCTTTTTTAAATTTTAATATTGAATCTCATGTTACTTAATACTGATGTTCACAATTTCAAACATTGAACTTTGAGTATGAAAACTTAGAAATCTTATTTGGAATATTAATTTCAACCTGTACAATGTAAATGTAAAATTAAAAAAGAAATTTCAATATGTATAACTTTTAAGATTAGATTATTATAGTTTAATATTAGTTAAATGTTTTAAACATTTCAAATTTTTTTGCAGTTTCCAAGCTGTTCCAACTACTGTTACCAAGAATCTTGAAGTTCGGGTTTTGTGGAAAGATCTGAATATTTTTGAAATTTGATAATTGTTCAATCTCTCTTCAAATCATGTGGGTTGAGATATCAAGTTCTGTATCACTTCATTTCCGTTACAGCAACCACACTTCATGTGGGTTTGCTGTATCTGATATAGTGCAGCTGGATACTTGATAACCTTAAAGTTTTCAAGAGACTAATTTTTATCTTCTTCAATTGTTCTGTCTTGCCATTAATTTTATTTTTGATGTGCATTTACTGTACATGGAAATTTCATGTGGAAAATCATGTACTGTTCCTCCATAACAGCTTCCAAGTGGAACTAATATAAACTGTGCTTGCTATCACAAAACTGTTGTGCACTGAGAGTTTGCATCAATCAAGATGACAGTAACATATTCGTTGAATGTGTCAAAAGCCCGTCTCTGCGGCTTTGCGAAACTACTACTGCGATGGAGAGGAAGCATTTATAAATTATTATATAGGGAAATGATTATTTTTTGTGGTCTCTACTACAGTTTGAGTGGAATGTATCGTTACATTTTGTCACCAAATCAAAGAATGTAAGTTGTTTTCAAAATTTCTTTTTAATTGTTTTTATTGAAATAATAATTTATTATTTTTTTTATTAGGGTTTTTGAAAAATTAACAAGATATTGTGAAACATTTACCAACCTCATCCCTCTATCTTTTGTTCTGGGTTTTTATATTACAATCGTAGTGGGACGTTGGTGGCAACAGTACCTGGCGATTCCGTGGCCAGATAAGTGAGTAATTTAATTTTTTTTTAAATGTTGATTTAATCTGGAAATAAAAAAAATCATCGGTTTTATACATTTTCAGATTTGTCACATCAATGCTTTATTGAGCTATCAATTAACTAATGATTCCATATTATAAAATTATAACTTTTGATTGTTCTAAAATTTTATAAGTATGAACTTTTATTGTAATAAGTATTTATTCATATAATTAGCAAATTGTGTAGAATGACTATAATGAATTATAAAGATATGAGAAATGAAAGCATTTTGAACTAAAATATTATAAAATACAATGTATTTTATAATAATTTAGTTCAAATATAATGTTCAAAATAAATCTGTAAAAGTACTTTCTTCATATTTAAGTTTTTATCAATTTGCTTATTTGAATCCAAGATGGGAACATTTTAAAGATCTTGAATTTAATGTCACTAATTAATAACTGAGGCAGTAAAGTCAGGTCCCTCACTATCTAGTCCTAGTCCCCATTATGGACTTGACTGAATCCGTGATGGGCATAGAAAGTAAGCCTTAGTGCCCATGGAATGATGTCAGAAATGAAAATGATCATCACCAGATTAAAATAAATAAATGAATGCTTACTGGAATTAATTAAATAAAATAAACAAACGCCTTTATTCCAGCAAAATGTTTAATATGTTAAAAATGTTTTCGACCATTTTAAGCGATCTTCTTCAGTTCAAATTCGAATCATATAACGAACAAAGTATTTGAAATAATACAAAAATTCACAGCACTTATTCACAACTTAACGTTAAAGTGCATGCCTGTACTCATAAAATGAATAGATTAAACCAAAATAATTAAAAATAAACCAAAAATTATATATCAAGAAATATAAAAACAATAACGCTGTCTGCGCGGTTGAAACAGTTAACTTATGTTATCATAAAAGGACTTCCAGACTGTTGATAAACCTTCAGCGTCCCTGTGATTGATGCACTGCATGGTCATAGGCACCTTGTATACAAAGAATCTTTTGCTTGTGTATATAGAATGACCTAATCTTTTGCTTGCGTATATAGAATGACCTAAGTTTTTGAAGCAGTGAAAAATGAATAAGAACATTGTCTTATATGCGAGTCAGTACAGTGTGTTCAATTTCAGTGTGTGTATCTCAAATTTTTCCAGGTGTTCCACTGCTTGTGTTGATCTTGTAGGTCTAATAATCACTGCCTGATCCCGGTATACTGCAATTCCTTGCTGCTTCGCAAATGCTGCGAAGACTGTGTTATCAATGCTTCTATTCACTGAGTATTTGTGCTCATCAAATGTGAAAGACCATAGATTTAACTCCGACCTGATATATATAGGAGCAACAATGCAGAACCTGAAGAAAAGGATTGATGAGCACAAATACTACCCATTTTTAATCTTTTGGTTTTGCTACCCATGTAGCAAAACCAAAAGATTAAAAATGCACATGACAGGAAAAAGTTTATTTTTAATGATTCAGAATATGCAAATATTCATTAAAAATATCAATTTAACAAATATGAAATAACTACATTTATAATCATTGCTAAGTGACCAGCTATTTTCAGACCATCTCTTTGAAAGGACATCCACCTTGATCTCGATAGCACCCTGCTCTAATGGCAGAATGAACTCTACACAGTTCATAGAAATTATTGCAAAAATGCAAAGAATCTTTTGCTTGCGTATATAGAATGACCTAAGTTTTTGAAGCAGTGAGAAATGAATAAAAACATTGTCTTATATGTGAGTAAATACAGTGTGTTCAATTTCTTTAAATGTTGTTCAAAATCTAAAACTATAATAGTATGTATTGTGTGTGGAAACTAATATTTTAATTACATTGGCTAAACATTCTTATCTTTCAATAATTAAAATAATAATTTAATAATTTCGAATATAGGAAATTATTACAAACTGGGATGGACTTGGTCATTTGATCAAGTAAAGCAACTCCAAGGAAAATTAAACAAGTGAAATAATTTTTCACTTGTTTTAAAATTAAACAAGTGAAATAATTTTTCACTTGTTTTTTAAAAAATTTTATTACATGCTCTGAAGAAATTAAATACAGTAGAACCTCGATTATCCGGACTAATTGGGGATGAAGGTAGTCCGGATAAGGAAAAATCCGGATAATCGAAACAAATACTTTGTCTTTTAATGATAATACAACACGTTTTATATTCGATGACATATCGGTAATATTAAAAGTAAATACTGTATTTAAATCGTGATCAAATTTTCAAAAAACAAACGTTCGTATTGAATTTGGACTACTACTGACCAGCGCTAACAGACTACATATTAGTGCTGTGCGATGCATCGATGTGACATCGACATATCGATGTTTTTGTTCGTCGATGCATCGACCTTCCGATGTTTTTGAAACATCGATCCTGAATCGATGTTAGCAATATGTGAATTTTGATTCATCGATGTATGCAGTTCATTCTTTGTTCCTAGTGTTACCACCTGTTCGGTTTTCACTCGGACAGTCCGGGAATTTCGTAAAAATTGTGAAATTGCGATGAAACAAAGTTCTTGCAAATATGTTTACAAATTTACACCTTTGGTCATCCAGAAAAATTGATATTAAGATAGAAAATTTTAACACAAATGGAACTTTAAATTCAAATTTTAAAACTTTTTTAGATGCCCCTATTGTGCCTCACAATAGTAATGCTTTGGATGTGTGGAAATCCATGAAATTTTTTAACTATAATTTATGTGAACTTGCCATGAAGTGGCTTTGCATTCCTGCCACTTCAGTTCCAGCAGAAAGATTATTTTCCAAAGCTGGAAATACTATCAACAAAATGCGGAGTTCTTTAAAGCCAAAGAATGTACACAAACTTCTAGTTTTAAATTCATTATCAATTGAAGAACTGTATGCATTGGAACTGTAATTGAACTATACAAGTTGAAAATAAAATTAAGTTTTGTTTTTTTTTTAAATTGCTTGAGTTTATCTTGATTGAACATCGATGTTCCAACGAACATCGATCAAACATCGATGTGAAATCCGACATCGAAATTTAGCATCGATGCTTAGGCAAACATCGATGTTTGACATCGATGTTAAAATTATAGACATCGCACAGCACTGCTACATATTGTTTAAAAGGCCCTCTGGCGGCGCAAGAAGAAGGATTTTATAAAATAAAAAGCAGTTGAAACTGCATTTTTATGAATAAAAATTTGACAAACTATTTATCGTTTTATGACGAGTAAAATTTTTTCGTCGCGTTCGCGGCTTTTAAGTAATGCATAAACCTTCGAGGCGCGAGGCCCTTCGGACCGCGAGGCGTAGGCGGTGGCCCACGTCGTCCGTGCCTTACGCCGCCCTTGGTCATAGAAATGACGTAATTTGAATATAAATTATTTATAAATACGTATGTCAAGTTATATTTTTATTACTACGTAAAATATATTTAAGAGTTTACGACCACTGTGCCGGGTGAGACGTTGTTGAAACAAAAAAAGTTATGCATTCCATCACGTACATAAACAGTATCGTAATTCGCCAAGTGCAAATCAGCAAATTCGTAAAATTTTTGTTTATTTTGAACAATCCGGATAATCGAAAATCCGGATAATGGAGGTCCGGATAATGGAGGTTCTACTGTACTTGGAAATTTTGATTATTTCATAAATTTATAATTTAAAAAAATACATATAATTATGATATAATGTAACTGCAAGTCATTAGCTATTCAAATAAATTTAAAATATATAATGGTTCAACTGATAAAATTTTTAATGGCTCTTTATTTAGAAGAAAATGCAAATTTTTAAGATGTCATTAAAAATTTATTTTGGTTGGAACACTGCTACTTTAGTTGCTCAATTGCTTTAAGAATGTAAGTTCTAACAAACGAGCATAAAGAAATAGAAACTAGGAAAACCTTATTTTAACAAAAAAATTCAACTTAAATTTTGATTAGACAGATAATTTACAATCATTTTTTTAATTGAATTTTGGAATTGTGAAATTGTTCTGTGTATACTCACAATTTATATTTTAAATTTGTTAAATTGTTATATATTGTAATGATTAGTATAAAATTTTCAAAATGTATATTAATTTAAATATCTGGCTATTGTAAAATTTAGTTGAACTGGAAAAATGGGTTGACTAATACATAGCAGAAATTAAACCATTGTGCAATTTCTCATTTTTATATTTATTAATTTTGCCTAATTGTTTGATACTGATTGCTTAAGGTTTGACAACTTTTTATGAATATTTCATTTTGTAATGAATTTAAAAGTTGAATGAAAGATAAAAAAAATACTTTCTGTTGGTAACTGGAAAATTAGTGAAATTTAAAAAATTTATTTGAGGTTTTATTAAAATTGCATTATAGTTATTCAAATGTAACAGTTATTTTAATGTGCAGATTAATTTGGTATAGCCTGTTATCTGACAGTCATTTTTTTCCATTTAGCTGCTATTTGCAAAAATAATACTCTTGTATAACAAGTAACATTAGACAAGCAGTTTTGTCAACACTAAGTTTTTATTACATTGAGACAGTCTGACTGTGCCAAAAATTTATCAAATAAATTAAGCAGTTGTATTTTGATTCATATTAAATAATGATTAGAGTATGTATCTAGTCAGTCATATCTTAACACACATTTTGGAACCTTATTACAGATATATCTTATGATTCAAGTTTGAAGATTGCTAATTAAAGAAAAAAAAATTTCATATAGACTGCATTCTCAATATTTTAAGAAGTTTCTTGATATTTGAGGAACTGGGTACCAACTAAAAAAAATTTAGTAGCAAGTTGTGTAACTTTTACAGCTGTTATGAGTTTTTATTTGAAAAAAATATATATGAACACCACACACAATTTTTTGTTTTTCTTATCTGGTATGAGATTGTTAAACTTCTTATATTTTTAATTACTATACAATGGCAAAAAGCTTAATTTTGAGGATAGGGATGAGTTTTATAAAGTATAAATACGAATGAAGATTTTAAATCCTACTTTCCTCAAGATATATGAATCCCTCTATCTCCTCACCCCTCGCCCTTTCACCATCAAAATTTAATATCATCAATGCTTTCCATATAAAAGCCACCATGCCAAATCTCTAATTTTTACCCCATCCTGAGATATTAAATGAAATAGATTCCTGCCTATGCACACATGCATGAAATTTTTTATTTTCCTTTTCATTCAGATCTCAAAATGCGGAGATTTGCAAAAAAACTTGGGTTAGATTTGACATGTTTCCAATGCTTTCCCTTATTATGTATACATAACAGCCAGGAAAGTAAAATACAATACAAATTTATGACCCTTCCTATGCATTTGCTGAGACTATTTTTATTAACTACTTGTTCGTACATTCATTTGTATGTAATATAATTTCTTTTTATATATATAAAAGACTGTTTTTCTAAGTAATCTAGAATCTAGCTGCAAGGACCTGCTTCGCTGGGCAAAAAGTAACGATAGTGAAGATTAAGATAATTACATTATAGCCAATCTTACCCGTTTTCACAGAATGCAAGAATTAGGTCCCCCGTTTCCAGACTAATTAGAGAATTTTTACGTCCAGTCAAATGAACTATTTTCAATTTGATCAATTTTCTGGAATGTTTACAATCGTTCTATAATCGAACCAATTCGAATTTGAATTTAAAACGGTTTGAACATTTTTTAAAATTGAAATAGAAAATCTTCCACTTTCAACCACTTTAAACCCCATATCTCCTGCACCCTTATAGCTATCGAGACGCAACCACCATAGTGCACGAATGGAGACTTGGGGCTACTACCACATACAAACACCATTCATGTACGATGTGTAGTTTTGGCTAAAAAGTGAAATATAGGGACACACATGTCCATTTTTATATATATATTTATATATAGATTGTCTACACCTATAAGCCATCAGGTTTCTTAAAATAAAATGATAGTACCTATTAGCCTGCAAGGAATAATCCAGAAATTTTTCAGTTTTTGATTTTTAATTTACATTTGTAATAGCAAATGCTTTAAAGTTGAACCAGTTTTTACATTGTATAGCTACCTCATAATGTGTAATTGTACAGTATATACTAACATCAAGTTGACATTTGTAAAAATACTATTTCCACAGCATGTACTAGTTGCATAGTGTTGTAACATTGCACTAGTCATGACTATGACTAATGAAATTTAGATTTTTAATAATGCATCTAAAGTTTTTGCACAGTGTTAAATGTTGATTTTACGGATAGTAATATGAAACTTTTTAAAATTAGTAAATGTTAAATTCAGCAAAATAATGATTCCATATTTTAAAGAACAATAATTGAGTTAGTCAAATAGCTGCTTGGAAAAATATTGAGAGTCAGATCTGATCAAAAAGGGTTTATCTCAGTAGGAGCAATACTATCATTAATCAATGGAATAGGTTGGCCCAATAACTTAAATGTGTGAGGGTTTTTCTTTCACTGATCTCATTTTTACATGAGCAAAGTATCATTTGTAAAAAATTCAAGGCATTGATCTGTACAGCTGTTCATGTTTGAATCCATTGTCAATTTTCTCTTCTAACAGAATTGAAGCTGGTTATGCAGCATTTATACTGGTCAAGTTCAAACTATAAAATATCAAAAAATATTTGAAAGTAGTAATACCTAAAAATATGATTAGGAGAATATTTTCTAGTCTAACATTTTCCTCTGTAAATTTCCAGAATAAATTATAAAAAGGATTCAAGTCATATCTTTAATGATTGAAATTATTGATATAGTAATCTCTAGTAATATATCTAGCTTATAAAATGTTTTTGAAAGATAGTGTATACATTTTCTATTCATAAAATTTAACTGTTATAAATTTAAAGTTGGAGATATCCAAAAGTTTGGATAATTATTTAAAACTATATTTAGATCTAAGTTTAATTAGAACAGTTGGATCATAAATCATTTGTAATTTTAGAACAAATTTCCAACAGCAAAACTTAAACTGTAAAATAAACATTAAATGATCCTAGAATAAGTTTTTGATCTAGAATAAACTAATCTTCACAGCATAATTAACTAATAAGAATTTTAAATTTATTAATCCATTTATATTCTTATAGAACAAGTATGCTAGTGTCGGCTTATGTCCATGGTTCAGATGAACGTGGAAGAATCATCCGTCGAACTCTTGCTCGTTATCTTAGTCTCTTATCTGTGCTTACTTTTCAAGCAGTCAGCACTTCAGTAAAAAAGAGATTCCCAACTCTTGATCATGTGGAAGAGTCTGGTAAGTGAAAATATCAGTATAAAGCTTTTTCAATTCAAAGACCTAATTTAATACATTCTGTAAATGTTGAGTGTGGTGATTGTGAAACAGTGAATAAATTCTGATTTTATATTTGAATCAAATGTATTCTTAACAAATGGAGGCTTATATAGATTTTTCAATCTCCAGATAGTTTAAAAACTAATTACCTTCTCAATAACTGGAGTTACTACAATAACTCATAACAGATTACAAAGCACAATTAACAAAACCTTTAACATCCAGTAACGAAATTTAATGTAAAATTTAACAAATGTTTTTGATCTTAAATAAGATCTGTATCAAGTCAGCATTATATTCCAAATTGGCATGCTCAGAACACAAATTTTCAAAAATTTTTTAAGCATGTTTTTATATAATTAAAACTTAAAATATAACGATGTAAATCAAACATATAAATATACAAAGTCAGTGGTATTTTTAAGCATTATAAAATTAAATTAGTTAAACTTTATACTGCTAACAAATCTATTTTACTAATATAAATTTCAAACATTTGTACTTAATATTTTATGAGGATTTTTTAAGCTAAATTATTAAAACAGTTAAAAATAATGCCTGCTGCTATTAAGCATCTTAATTTATTTATTGAATATATTACTATATACTAGGAGTTTAAATTTTAGCTTAACTAAATGCTAAGTTTTATTAATATGTAGTTAAGTTCAGAAACTGATTTTAAATTTGATATTTTTATAATAGAAAAATTTATCAGAATTGAACTAAATCAATTCTGAACTAAATATGATAAGTGTTTGTTTTTTAATATTCATAATTATGGTTCACTCTGCAAGAATTTGAGAAAATTTTAAGTAAATATTTGAATAAAGGTTTTCATAAGAATATCCTTTTGAAGAATCCATATATTTATCATTTTAAATTCAAATGTTTTGCATTAGTCAAATAAGCTATAGCCTATCTAGACATTGCATGGTGTCATCTACACAATTAGAATGAGTGGTGGTTGAGTTCAGATAGTTTATTGACTGGATTAAAATTAGTGTAACACATTGTTTCAATGCTGACTTTAGAAAATGTAAACCAGATGTGTCCAATGCTCCAAATTCTGGCATTTTGATAGCCATTTATACCAAACTTTGTTATTGGTGAATGTTATTTTATTACTTTTATTACAAAAGTGATTTGTTTTGTTAAAGTAAAACATTCTTAGTGAAAATATATTACGAACCTAAGATGCTTAAAATATTAAGTCAGTCTATTAGAGGGTGTTTGGGCTAGAAGTATTGAAAAATATACCTCTCAGTATCTGTAAGGTTTATTAAAAATTTTTTGGTATTGTAAAGTAACACTCTAAATTAAGTTTTTATAAAGGTTACTTTTAATGTGAACATCTTTTTAACTTAGTGTCAAAATGATACTCAAGCTCTTGCCAAATATTTCAAACAGCTGAGGCTTTATTAGAGCTGCTGCAGCAATGTTTTAAATAGTCCAAATCCCAACTTTACAGACTTTACCAGAAGCTTTTTGCTTGTGTCTTTAGATCTACAGATATGATTCCATTATTAGACAACCAAGCAGTTGGGCTTCCTTTTGATTTATATCCAGGTTTTGATTTATATTCTAGTGTGTGTTCAAAAACAGTGCATCATTACACTTTTAAGATGTTAATATTTTACTATGCACAAAATAACTTGAATGTGAGACAAAGCAAACATCTATCTGCTACACTTCCATTGTGAAAATGAGTAGTTCTGACATTGTAAGCTCTACATATGCATGCATGCATGTTTGTGCATGCGCATGCACCACACACACACACAAAAAATGTCTTATATTGAGTGTCAAACCTATGGCAAATGTGCCCAAAGTGGCACATTGCGAGAAATCATCTGGTACAGAACATTTCATATGATTTCATTCAATCATCTTTATATTTATTCTAATTAAAGTATTTTTACTTCGTTCTTTTAAATATCGTTATGCAAGCTAAAACTTCAGCATGCATAAATATTTAAGTTAATTATGCTCATTATGATATGTGGACTCTAAATGGTTTGCTATCCCATCCTGTATATAAATTCTATTCTCAACTATTGATTTAAAATTTTATGTAGGTGTATAAATAATAATAATTTTTTATTTTTATATTGGAATTACTGTGATTCTAAAGTTTAGATTTATTTACAGGTTTGATGACAAAAGAAGAAAGGTGTGTTTATGATGAAATCCCAGTCAGTCATGGGAAATGGTGGGTTCCTGCACAGTGGTTCACATCTCTAGCAGTTCGTGCAAGAAAAGAAGGACGTATTAAAGATGATGTTCTTCTTAATGCTATATTAAATGTAAGCAAAACAAATCAGTATCAATTTGGTAATCTTTAGTTACTAAAATTATAAAGAATAAATGTTGGTAAGAAAGAGATGAAGTGTTCATAACATCCTACTAAATAAATAGCAACAATCTAGTCAATTAAAAATTTTTAAGTGTTAGCATACTACCATTGGGCTCAATATTCATGTCTGATCCAGTCTACCATCACTTATTATGGATAGTACAAATGAGGACATTGTTCTTTCTTGCAAGCTGACTAGCTTTAATGTACTATAGCAGGGGTGGGCAAGCAAAAGTTCAGTCGGAACCGAAATGTACGTTTTGCAAAATGCATCAGAGCTGCAGTTCTGTACTTTTTTTTATTCTGTACCACAGTTCTGTACCGCAATTTTATTATATAATGTAAATATAATATAAAACAAATATTGAATTTTTTTAATAAACATATTTTTACAAAATTGTGGAAATAAAATTGTAAAAATAATAATGAAAAAGCAGAAATTAACACTTTCAGCAAGAGCCACATTTGCCCTTGTCTGTACTATAGTCTTAACTAGGTGTTCAAAAAACTTGAATATTCATTAGTTTGTCAAATTATAAAGGATTCTATTATAATTATTATGATAAATATTTTCAATATTTTTTTATATAAATATTTTGTTGCATTTTGTAATAATTTTATGAATGCAGCTTACAGAATTCTTAAAATAAAAATATTTACTCTTTACACTGTTCAAATGATTGAGGCAAGTTGGATATACTTTAAAAACTAATTAGCATATTTGGTGCAACATTTTTTTCACTGGTGGTGGGAGTGTTAAAGCTGTTCTTCAGTATTGATTTAAAAAATGTTTCCTTATTTAAATTTGATTTCATTAAAATGCTGGGGGTTGCACAGTGCCAAAATTGTCACTTGACAATATTATTATTAAAGTGGCAGTAAAAACTAGTCTGCTTATTCCGACATTCAGCACAAAATTGAATTACAAAGCATGCTACAGGAAAAACAGCAGAATGTTGACTTCCTGTTCAATGGGAATCCTGTGCCCCACACCTAGCTATGTCATGACATCATGCGGCAAGTTTAGGCAGGAAGTGGTGTTATTTTTAAGTAACAGCTTAACATGTTACTTTTGCTTTCCATACTCCAAACTGATGATGCTAGCAGTACCTGCATTAATTAGTAAAACTAGTGACGATAAATAATGTGAAATGGTTGGCAATTTCTTAATTTTCCACAGCAAACCCTTAGTGCTGTTTTTGGACTGTTTCAACTCATTTGGGATCTCATACTGGATAGTATAATTACTAATTTCTTTTTTAAACTAGAAATTTTAATGCCATAGCACTTGAAAAACTTCAATTTTCTATGTAAATAGTACTTTAAATGGTTGATTCTTTAATTACAGAATAGGGAAAAAATTGATCAGTTTCAAAGTTTGCAATGTCCTCATTTTTTATTCATTGAAGTATGTTTGGATAAATTTTAGTGCATATAAATTTGTAGGAAATTTTCTATGGTAGTGGTTGCCAATGTAGTTCCTGTCTTATTTTCTTTTCATGAAAATAAAATTTCACAAGTACTTAACATCTATAAATTAAAAATAACTTTGTCAAATGTTTTCAAAATTAGGTAATTTTTTAAATAATCAGAAGAATTTTGTAATTGAATTCTATGATTGTTCACAATGATAATCTGAGAATATTAGTATTACATTTTAAATAACTGAAACTTTGAAATATTTTAAATAAAAATCAAAATAGAACAGATATAAATTTTCTGTATATGAAAAGTTAAACAGAAATTATTTTTGTTACTTATGCAAGCTAACTAATTAGCTGACATAAATATTCTTTGATACTAATAAATGCACAACTACATTTTGTTTTAGTTTTTAAAGTTTCTCAATCTGGTATCACTGAAGACAAAGGCCTAAATCTGATTTAGCATTTGAACATTGTAACTTGGTTTTAAATTTACATACAAATGAATACATAATCCTCTCATTTGGTAGCTCGCTCATTCTCACTTACCATATGATCTAAAAGTTTGAGATCAGATGTAAGCGAGATGAAGTGAAGTTAGTCAACAGAAAATAAAGTTTAAAGTAACTGAATGGTATTTAAAATTTATAATGACCTTCAGAAATGTATGTGAAAAAATTAAATGATTAGCAAATTTTAAGGGCTTAACTCAAAATATTTCTAGATTTCCCTAAGTTCCCTTGATCCAGTTGTAATAAGTTATATAAAGTTGTCAAATTTAAAAAATTGGGGTGTGTTTTTAAATTTAAGAAAATTAAATAGTTGTATTTCTCATGTATTTCTGGATGTTCTTTGCTTAATCCTGAGGTATTTATACCCCGAATGGGGAAAAAACAGCTTACAGGAAATGTGTTGCCCTTTAATTTTAAACTCTAATCTTTAAGTCAATGTTTCTAAATTTGTGGAAGTTTTTTAAATTTAAGAAAATTATTGCTATTAAATTTTTGAACAAAAACACTACCAAAAACTCATTTTAGTATTAAATTTTTCTTTAAAAAAAATTGTTTCAAATAGAGGTATTTTCTTGTTGGACAAGATTTTTCGTTGATTTACTTAAATTTCATTTCTTTTCTGTTTTAGTAATAATTTACATAATTGAAAATTCTATATTATAATTACTGGAATATTATTTTAGGAAATGCACACTTTCCGTGGTAATTGTGGTATGCTTTTTAGTTATGATTGGATTAGTATTCCACTAGTATACACTCAGGTAAGTGTTATACAACATAATGATAATTTATGAAAATTCTTGTTTTAAAATATTAGTTTTTAAATGTAACTTAAATGTTTGAATTGTAAAGATTTATATTATAACCTTTTGTGGATCAAATGATTTCAATGATTTTAAAATTACATTAAATTTTATAATTTTGATTTTTAATTTGGTTTTCATAAGTTATAATTTTGTGAAGACACAAACAATGGCTATTTCCAAAAGAATGATCTTTGAACTTATATACAGTAGAAAATGTTTATTGTATTCACTTTAGGTAACAGTATTTTGATAATATCTCAGAACATTAAGTGAATAAGACTACAGTTAGTGGAAATTCTAGTTTTATTAGCTAACATTTAAATGAACACATTACAAAAGTTTTAAACTTTGTATAAATCAAAGTTTTTTTTATTAATTATATGTGGATGAATTACTGTATGAAGTAAAAATGCCAATAATTTAAACTATTGTATACAGCAGAAAAAATCATTGCTTTTGATGTGATGCAATTGTTAGTCTTAGTCTTGGGTACGTGTTGAGCTGATACTTTTTTTTTCTTTCTTTTCTTGCTATTTATCAACAGATAACTAAATCATAATTACAAATACATAAATACTAGAAAATATTTGATCTTAAATATTACATTAAAAAATAAATTTGAATGTTATAGTTCAATATTGGAGGTATTTAGATGTCCAGTCAGTGATGGATTCAGAAGTATTCAAATGGGACATAAATTATTAGATTATTATTCAAATATTTTAACATGTGCATGATGTTTTTATAATATAGTGATATTTAATTTTGGTTAATTTAAAAGTTAGTACTTATTGCTTTATACAAGTAGTCAAGGTATTTGAATATTTGAGGTTTGGTTATAATTGCTTATTATTTGCTTATAATTAGTTAACTTTTTCAGTACTTAAATTTTGGAATGTGCTTATTATTCATTTCACATTATCAGAATATCTGATTAAATGCAAAATATTGAGCACTACATGTGCATGAAGGATAAGAATGGACAGTATCTGCGGTATAAGAAGGAAATCTTGAGCCATTGGCATGAACATTTTGATGAGATCTCAAACATTGAATTCTGACATCCACCAATTCCTGAGGGTCTGCCCTGCCCTGGGCCGGTTTTCCAAATCACAGCTGGGGAGGTGTCTGCGGCGATTAGAAGTATGAAGGACCAGATGACCTGGAAGCTCAAGGACCTGCACACCGAGGCTACAACTTGGCTAACTGCATTCTTCAATGCTGTGGTAGTCACCGGTTGACCTCTGGTGATCTGATCCACAAGTATCATTGTACCAGTCTTCAAGAAGTGTGATCCAGCAGAATTCTCCAACTAATGGCCAATATGCCTACTCTCTCACATTATGAAAATCTTTGAGCGCATTATTGACCGACGTTTGTGTGACATTGAGGTCACAGTCCTATAGATGTCACATCTATAGGACTGTGATATGACATATAGTATATACTCTATATACTATATATATACTCTATAGATGTCACATCTATAGTGTGTGATATGACACATCACACTCTATGGTTCCGAATGTTGGCCATCAACGAAAGCAGCCAAATGGAGTCTCCATTCCATTGAGATGTGCATGGCTTGCAGAACTTTTGGTGTATCCCTCCTCGACCATATCACCGACGACACGATACACCAACAATTTGGCATTGTGCCCATTGAGGCAAAAATGAGACTCCTGTGCTGGTTTAGCCACATCTAACGATCAGCCCCCGGATACAGTTGTCAACATTGCCTATCACCTAGAGGTGAACAGCTGTCAACCATGCGGAAGCAACGATGGCAAGATGCTATCAATGCAGACCTAAAGGCTCTGCATCTGAACCCAGACAATGCACTCGATCAAACAAAGTGGTGTTTGAAGATCCAAATAGCAGACCCTATATCTGTGGGACAACACTGAGAATAATATCTGATTAAAGTAACTGAATTCTATTGTACATAAAAACCATTTACAGTAGATTCCACTTACTGTAATTACTTTGGGACTCACTGTTACTGAATGAATTATCATTTGTCTACTAATTTCAATAACAGTGTAATGTCAGCAATTTGAACTTTTATTTAAGCAAATAATGATTAAAGCACTGGTTAAGACTGATGATAATTCTAATATTAGCCAGCCACTTATTTAGGTTTTTAGCATGTAAAGAAAGCTTAAAGGCCTATTTATCCAAAGATGACAGCAATAACCAAATTCTGATCACAATAAGCATAGTATTTATAATTGTATTTGAAAAATTACAGTATAATTTGCTAACCTACTAGTTTTGATAACATTATCTGTGATTATATTAAGCAGTCTGCTGTATACAAATGTTCAGGATAACTTATACTACTACTAAATGGGTACATGTATTATTATTACTGTATTATTGAGTTAAAAAAATTCTCCATTTCAAACAAAATCTTTTGATAGACTTTATAATTAGTGCATATATAGCATTTAAAAATTTGGTTAAAAACTTTGTTTTACTACAAATTGGAATAAATTAGTAAACCTGCTTTAAATTTGACTGGGGGGGGTGGTTTAGTATTAAAGAATCTTGCTTTGTGAATAAAATTGATACTGGTAATTAGAATTGGATTCTGTAACAATTAGAATAACAAATTTCTAAAATTCACAATTTAAATGTAAATTGAAAACAAAATATGCAATTAGCAACTTAATCAGAAATTATGTTTGGAAATGCCAGGAGAAATATGAATTGAGATTCCAAGTTGTGTTTACAATATAAGGTATCACACTGGGAGTTAAGTGAAATTATACAATAACTTTAATTTTGATCTTTTTAATAATTTTTCGTACTGAAGACATCAAGTAAAATTGAAATTATTGCAAAATTTGATCCGTTCACTAAGAAAATAGTTCATGAATTGAATGACACAAATATGAAATAATGAAATAAATGTCTATCTGGTGCTTTTTTTTTTCTTTTTCAATATATGAGATAATGTATTGAAATGTCATATATTTCCAAGTAATGATATATTATTAGAACTCTGGACAAAAACTGCAAACATGATGTAAGTACATCATGTTTGCAGTTTTTTCTTAAATCAATGATTTAAGAACATTTGAATGACAGATACCAATATTGATTCTTTAATCTAATTGGGCCGCAATTTGAAAAATTGTAGTTTTTATATAATTAGTTATTCAAAGATTTGTTTTTTCTGTAATTTAGAATGTAATGAATTTACAATAATAAATTTATTCTTTATTAGACTGGTTAAAATGAGCTTATTATATAGTGTGTGAGGTGTAGTGCACACATCAGTGCACACAAATATGATTTTTCTTTTTGTACTTTTAATTGTTAAACAGGAGCAATTTATTTTGGTGTTTAGTTCTCAAAATATTTAGGTAAAAAGTAAGATGAAAGTGTCAAAACATATCATTTTGAATACTGTATATACTTCTGAATTCTTTAAATGACACTTTTGTAATTTTAACTTTGTTTATTGTGATGTTAAATATTATTTTTAAACTGTTTAACTGTTTTATTTCTTATAAAAATTGCTCAATTTGATAGTTATAAGCAAATTAGATTGGCAAAGTGGAAAAATTTAATAGGATTCTTCTATTTTACTTGCATTTTGAATTTAGGCTATAAATGAATATTTTACAACTTGAGCTAAAGGAATTTGTTGTTGGTATGACAGTGTTTTCACATTTTTGTTAAAAATGTAAAATGTTTTGATAGTTTTCATATCTTCACTCTCAATTCTTCAAAGTCAAGTCTATATTTATCACTTCAAAATAAAGTGATAAATATAGACTTGACTTTGAAAAATTGAAGATTTGAGAGTGAAGATATGAAAACTATCAAACATTTTATATTTTTAACAAAAATAACTTCATTTTTAACAAAATAACTTCAAAATAAAGTTTTGTGTTTTCAAGGATGCAAAAGATCATTTTTGCATTAATCTGTTACCAGTAATCATCTTTCAAAATTGTTTTGTTTAAATGTAGGAATGAAAAACCAAAAAGAAGGGAATGTGTGAAAAACTTAGTCAGTATGGTTAAGGTGTCAGTGTGCCACTTTGGGTGGCCTGGAATTGATTCTGGGTAAGCAATTTCTGAGGAATTTTTTATGGCTTGTCAACACCAGATATGTTGGGCCATCCCTCACTATTTGGCTTTTGCTTAACTTACTTTGGGTATGGAGAAAAATGGCCCTCTTAGTGCCCAATGCCACTAAAAGCCAAAGATGTCATTTTATTTATAGGGTCTTAAAGATTGCTCTTAGAAATTCTGACAGCTGCATAACATTCTTTAGCTGACATTTTGGTATATGAGAATCTTAAGCATTTTGAAAGTAGTTGTATTTTCTTCTACCTTTTTGTAGTTGACTTATTTCATTACTTTGCTTTGTAAATTATTTGCTCTCTACATTTTAGTTTGAAAATTGATACAATAGTTTAGTATTTAGGTTGTATGAATGTAATGATTTGAGGATTTGCATTATTGCTTATTGGATTGGTGGTGATATTTTGATTAAATTTATTCTATTCTTATTTATTAATCTAGTAAGAATTTTTTTTACAAGGATCAGTGTTTAAATACCCTTTTTTTTCATTAACAACAGTTTATTTCATTCATATATTATGTTCCTAATGGTGTCAAAATATAGCATGGCAGATTATTTGTATTAGATCAGATAAATCAAATAGTTGGTTAGTTTTTTTTAATCTAGTGTGTTAGAAGTGCCACAATGCAATATGCTAATTAGCACTGGTGGATCCCAGACTCTTAAAATATTAAATTCTATTGGTATATTTTTAAAGCAGGTTTATTACATAATTGAAATTTACTAGTACTTCTGATGTTTGTTCATTATTATTAATAAAAAAATATAAAAAATTTTTTGTTAATTAATCTGGTTTGAAAATACTTGAGAATAAGAAAGCTTTATAGTAATAGTTCAATGTGTCCATTGTATCAAATGAAGTCTTTTATAACTTTCTAGGTAGTTACACTGGCTATTTATACTTATTTTCTGGCCACAGTGATGGGACGTCAGTATCTGGACCCAGAAAAAGGATATCCAGGTCATGAAGTTGATCTTTACATCCCAATATTTACTATTCTTCAGTTTTTCTTTTATATGGGATGGCTTAAGGTAAGACTTCAGATTTAAGATGGTATAATTTGACACCTTTTGAATTTGCTTTAACCAAAAGTGTTCTCTGTAGGTGGCGGAACAGCTTATTAATCCATTTGGTGAAGATGATGATGATTTTGAATTAAATTGGTGTTTAGACCGTAATCTTCAAGTAAGATCAGATTACTCGGAAATATTATATAATTTAATATTTGTAATGCAGCATAATCTATAAACTTTAAATATTTAGGTTTCGTTCATGATCGTTGATGAAATGCATCGTAAGCATCCTAAATTAATAAAAGATACGTATTGGGATGAACTGGAACCACAACTTCCATATACCAAATCATCTGTTAATTTGCGTTCGCAGCCGCATTTGGGGTCTGCTATTAATTTAGAGTAAGTTTTTTTTTATCTTTGGAACTATTCTAATTGACTACGGTTTAAATAATAATAATAATAATAATAATGGTAATTTCAGTATTAATCTGGAAGAAGCTGAATTCGTTCCAATGGAAACGATAATGGAGGACGATCACGAAGATAATACTTTCACGTATAACAGTCCACCGACAAGTCCGACTAAAGAATTACTAACACCAGCTTTTCCATCGTGCGTGGAGTTTAACCCTCGGAATACGACTGGCGAAGGGGATACCACTTCTCAGACCGGTTTAAGGCTTCTAACAGACTTTCCGGGTTCAAAAATAATTAACATGTTGATAGGTTCGAGCTCCGAAAACGTGAATTCAGTTTCCAAAAAGGATAATCTTCTTCCCACTTTTACATTGAAGACTCCGAGTCACAGATCCCGCACCAGTTCCGTAAACGAGCATCGCGAAGACCATTCAGCTGAGGAGAAAGAGACCATCAACGAAGTCCAGTTTCATCTTCCGTCTACGCTGACTCCATCTAGAAGAGAACAAGGAACCGTGGAAGAACAACAATCGTTGATTATAGATATACCCGTCGACTCTAGTAACGCGGTTCCTAGTAGCTACGGTGATGCAGCTCCAGTGCCGACAGCGTTAATGGATGGCCTCCATTCAAAGAAGAGTGGCGTAGGCACGTCCTCCAACATTCATAGTCCCTGTGAGACCGCCAAAGAATCTGTGGTGCAGATCGACTCTGAACCAGGGTCTCCAGTGGTCCAATCGAATTACGAGCCGAACTCGTCCCAAGAAAGTCTGACCCAGTTTGTCGATAGCAATCAGAGCACAGTAAGCAGTTATGCCGAACTACTGCAACACAGTAAATAAATTCCTGCAATGTACTTTCTTTCTTTCTTCTGTAGATTTATTTTGATGTTATATTTTTTTATTTATTCGGTTCTTATTGAACCACGTGTACTGTGAAAACTTTATTTTGGATATTTTTCATTAGTTTACTCGAATCTGAATGTATTGAAATTATTTTTTCTTTAACCGTAACTGTGATAACAAAAGTTTCTACATTTGGAAGCTGATGGAGGAACAGTACTTTTCTCCTTTATGTAGTATTATTTTAAAACTTTCTAGAACGAATTTCGTCTTGTAAATGTCGAATGCAAGCTTTGCTATATGTATATAAGTAAAACAAAGTATTTCTTTTGGGAATACCAGGATGTGCTTTAGTTACTTTACCACGACACAAGTTATTTTGACTGAATGATCTATTCGTGTCTTTACAACACGAGAACGGGAGAACTCGATCTGTGATAAAGTATAGTTTTGCATTTATTTTGTTAAGAATAGGTTTCAATGTCCATGGTTTTGGATCTAAACAAGATTGAGCAAATGCCGTAACTTAATCGTGTATGTAAACGTTTTTCTTTAATGAATGGATTAGATTAACGGGTTCTTGTAACGATCGAGTTAAATGGTTGTTACCTGTATCAGGTAGTGACATTTTACGAAAGATGTCGTCATTTTTTATTAAATGTAACGAGTTCTGTCATTTTCCGGTAATATAATAATAATAATCTAAATGTTCTATGTAACTTCAATGTTCATTGTAATTCAATATTCTATGACATGTCGATCGATGTAACTTGTAAAAACAGTTGTAATCCCCACTATGACAATGAAGTGGTGCTAAGTTTTGAATTTTGCTTCCGTTTGCCTTCCTTAGAAATCATAGTAGGATTGTTAAGACTCAGTGATACATAGTACAAAAATCTTGCCTTAAAAATTCCATACAGGTGTATAGAAATTGCTTTCTATTGCTAAAACCCAAGTGCTTAAACGTGTTGCTATAAAACCGTTATTTTCTTACGATCTTACTTGTGATAGTAAAATATCCATTTCCGAGATATATATTAATATAAGATATATACATACATAAGAAAAAAAAACATGTTACTGTTAAATTCAATAAATATTTACTGATATTAACTGCTGTGTGTTGATTTAAAAAAAGAAATGATTGATTCTCCTAAGATCGTATTCGAAATTTAGTCAAAAATTAAGTTTTTTCGAACATAAACGAATTTAAAAGTTTATATAGTTTAAAACAGTCGATTCTCAAATATTCGGAAAAGCTAATTTGCTGTTTATACAAGGATTTTGGAGATACGATCTTAGGGAAAATTATCTCTACTTCATTAGGGTCGGCATTTTACCAGCTGTAAGAGAGACCAAATTAACTTTTTAAAAAGTTAAGTGGAGCATTGTTTAATATACAACGTCTTATGTTGGTCTCAAAACATTCTTTTCTGATTTTTGTTTACAAGTCTCCGTAATAAATTTAATTGATGCGTGATTTTATGAAGGTAAGAATCTTTTACAAAATGTATACAATTTCCATGACGTTTTGTTCTCTGCTCTGATATTCTCAGAATTAAGTAAATGACTTCTCCATAGGTATTGTCAGAGGATTAATAGAAACGTGTTGAATCATGGAAATTTACACATTCGTAGTATCCTGAAATAAAGTCCACTTCTTTTGCAATAGTTCAAATATTGCACAAATTTTTATTTTAAAAAGAGTTAAATTGTTAATGGCGTTTGGCTAGAAGTGTTTAGTCAAAAACGTTTTCTTAAAACTTCAAATGGTTAACATCAGTCATGAGCGACTTTCAGATTGCGGAACGGTTCCTCGGAATTCTGCTCAGTCTTGAACTAGACCAGGGTTGGCGAACTTGTTCGGGAAAAATCATCTAGCACGATTTCATATAACTATTATACGTTTTTAATTTTTCACTTGTATTTTTTTTTTTAACCATTCTTCCGGTTTATCATCTGACCACCCTTTTTTTAACCAGCTGCTTTACATTTATTCGAATTAAATCGTTATTAGAAGTTTAAAACTTTGGCACGCATAATCATTTTTAAACATAATTATACCACGTATATATGACACAAGGACTCAAAAAGGTGTGCTATCCCTGGACTACACTTCCCCGTCGGTTTTATATATACAATGAATCTACTTATGATTACTGGGAGTTGCAATTTTTGAGGATAACCGACTAATAATATCAATAACGATTTTTAATCTTCTATTTAAACTGAATTTAAACTCATTACAATTATGACATTTTTACAATTTATATTGATCACAAATTGTACACTTATAAAGCATTACACATTTATTTATGCTACATTTATAAATAATTGTTTTTTGAAGCAACAAAAAATTTATTGTAAAAAATTTTCAAGTGTCTGTCCTTTGCACTTCTGAATATAATTCAGTTATAGTGAATGCTTTTCGCAGTTTGTTGCTCTATATTGCACACATGAAGAATTCGTAGAGCTGCTTGCATCTGCACATTAGTTGAAGGAACTGAAATATCTCCTGTAAATAAGATCTATTTTCTTCCTGATAATTTGAAGTTATCCGCAACATCTTGACCTATTTTCGATCCTTCCATTTTAGCCTCCACTTCTATATTGCTGTCTATACCTACCCAATTTTCAAACTCTCCTTTAGACAGTCTGTCTGGAATTCTTTCGCAAATTTTAGCTGTAAGCTTCTGAAAAAGTTCTTCTGAAACAGGAAATTTCGGCATTTATTTTAGAAAATTCACCCTTTCAGAAGCAGTTTTCTCCGAGACTTCTTTCAAGACCTTGCTAGCAAATGCAATGTATCAAGAACGGAAACTTTTTGCAATTTCCGATCAACTGGATTTACACCAGATCTTAAATTTTATCCAGTTCAGATATAATAACTCTCAAGCGAATTTGTCTGTGATGATAAGCTTAATTTTAAAGGTCGTACGATAATTTGGTCATAAGGCAGAATTAACGATGTAGTGTTTGAAGGCAATATCATTTTGATGTTTTTAAGGACAAATTGTGCGCGCGCCGTATGTAGTTGTCTACTAACAAAAGGATTTTTCGCTTTAATTTACGATCCTACTTAAAAATGACGTCATCCAAGCATTTGCATTAGACAAGTAATCAACGGGCAAACTTTTGACATCTTTAAAACTCTGAGGATTTTTACTTTTTCCAATCAGCGAAAGGTCTTGCATCTCGCCTATCATATTAACACACCAAAGAACTGCCATTCTCTCTTTCGAAAATTTAAATCCTTTAGCGGTCTTATTTTAAAACAAGTATATTCAGGCATTGCATGAAAATATAATCCAGTTTCATTTGCATTATAAATATCCTGGGGTGAATATTCAGAAATAATTTTTAGTCATTCTGTTTTTATCCACTCCATAGCTCTTCAAATTACAAATCGCACTTTTTTCTTGACCATGGAGACGTTTATATACAATATTCTCTTGCTTTTTTCATCTGTTGAACCATCCATCAGTTCCAATGCAATCTTTCGCCCATAAATTTGCCTATTTTGCATCAAAAAGCAATAGTAGTAAGTCCATTAACCGGAGTATTCTTTTCACGAACATTATTGAACCAAATTTTAAATGCTGACTCAACTTGACTAGCATTCTCAAGTTGTTTTCTCTTCCGATTCATGTTCTCGTTAGAAAGTGAAAAAATATCTACGTTTTGATCTGTCTTTTAAGTCTGCGTTATTCGGTGAAATATTTTCATTGTTTCTTCAATTTTAAGTATCGTCAAGGAATAATAATCGCTTCTGAGGGATGAATAAATAAAATATTAAAATTTTCGCTTTAAAACTTTAGATTCTAAATAAATAATGCTGATAGAGAAGCTAAATCATGTAAAATTAACATTATCTCCAAAGTGATCTCCAAAGTGATTTATGGTTATTCTCCTGACCAGCCTCACTATCTTCCAGTTGTTCTGTTTCTGATGTGTGATCTCCATTTTTACCAGACGTATTTGGCTGGACATATAAATCCTAGCAACATCGTGTTTTCTCAGCAGCAGCTGTTTCTACTTTACGTTGTGGGCATTGTTGCTGCTCGCTGTTATATCCAGTAACAACTTTTGTAGACCCCATAACATGCGCAGAAGCAGATCAGTCAGAAACATTCACGGAGCAAATTGTAAACAGAGCAGTAAAAAAAAAAATAATGTATTTAGTCACCTTAATTAATCTGTGATACATTGTCTTGTAAACAGTAATGTTGTATGAATTCATAATTACAACGAAAATACCGTCACGCTTTTTTTCACATCGGCTATATCCATTCACGGTCACAGACTTGCGGTCTTTTCAGGACAACGTACTGCTCATATTCAGGTTCACTACTCGCATACTCAGAACAGATATATAAATGTGGGTTCGTCTTCTGATTCTTTTAATAAAACTGTGAATTCGCATTCATCCATTTTTACACAAAATGTGGGGAAAATCCTCACGTAGCTCTCCACGCACTGAAGAGGTTAGCTGTATTGAATAGTGTCCACCAGTGGCCAAGCGGTCTTCCGTACCCTGAAGACTGGGAGTTCGGTCGTGGGTTCACGCTACGCTCGGATGGGCTGGCAACGTGGAGTTTTCCAGGTTTTCTCCACGTCTGTAACGGCCAGTTTCCCTTAAAAAGACCTCCCGGAAGGCATCCTCTCTAGGCAGATCGCCCAAATGTTACGTTGCCATAACTTAACAAGCAATTAGCTGTATTGAAAGTGATAAGGCATGATATGATTGATCGAAATAATTAGAACTAAGTAGCATTGAAGGAAGTGGTCGGAATGCAAATACGACTTTGTAATATTGAGCCTTGAGAGCACAGGATCACACTTTGACCGGCATAAGGGATGCCATATGTAGATTACAGCAGTTAGAACAGTGGCATAATATCTCTTTTTTATATGTCAGTTAGAAACCAGTAATCCTAAGATGACGAAGCGTTGTCGGACAGCAAAGGCATGTGACGATCGTACAGGAACAAAAAGCCTTCTCTTTACAAATTCAGAGGCCAGAAAGGAAAAATATCGAAAATCGTATAATTTTAAGCGTTCCTTTCTATCTCACCTCATATGGAGTATCAGCGTTTTCGGCTTTATTTCTACGATAGAGTGATATCTGTATTTTTTTTTAACTCTTTCCACCCTGTGGGCACTAAGAGGGTCTCTTTTTGCAAGTCCATTATGGGTACGGCCAGGCCCACAATGGGGCGACCGGATGGTGAAGGACCACCCCAAAAAATTCTGGAAGTTATTCGATCCCGGGTCCCCCAGAGCGATAGACTGCCACCTTGACCGCTCGGCCATCCGGCCGTCTGAGTGATATCTGTATTCAATGAGCATAGATTCGGATTCCCGCTCCCCAATTATGGCCAAACAGTAAAGTATCGACCAAGCTTACTGCTTGGCTATACGCAAGGAGCGGGGAATAATGCCTTCTGTGAGGTCTTTTTAAGCGTAACTGTCCCCTATTACAATTGGTCCCGCTTAGAACTGAACCCTCTACGAACTGGCTCGTTTGATTGCAGTTGTGAACAAAAGAAAACATATATTGGAGAAACAAAAAGAAAATTAAAACAACATATTCGGACCATGAAAAGCAATTATGCAAATTCAGCAGTAGCAGAACATTGTAATACAAAAAGGATGCGAAATAGATTTGAGCACTATAAAAATAAAAAAGAAAGAGTTTTATTTTTAATACATAAAAAATATAAATTCGACTTTTAACAAAGCTAAAAACTTTGTACTTGCCTCTGTGATTTTTTGTGAACGTTTTTTAAAGTATTGCTGATGGTGAGAACGGCGAAAAGAAGGAC